CTGTTTCCTAACTTCCCTTCCATTTTTATTTTTTTTTATTTTTTTTTTTGGGAACTTCCCTTCCATTTGTCCATTTGGAGTCTCGACTCGAACACATGATTGCTTGATCGACAATGTTGGGATTCGATTCATGTTTTTCTCTTTTATTCCCCTTTTTTTTCCTTTTTTTTTTTTTTTTTTTTTTTTTTTGGGTAAAACTGCACTATACTGGTATCTCAATTTCTCCATCCTTCACGACCTACCTAATACTACTTGTATGGATATACAGGGGATGTTCCCCTGCAAGCATAGCCATCTATAAGGATATACAGGGGCTGTTCCCTGCAAGCATAGCCATCTATAAGGATATACAGGGGCTGAGTTACAGCACAAATACAAGCACTTAGTATTTTCTCTCTATTCTATTTAAGGTATAATGTAAATTTTGCATATCTCTATAATAAATTATTATTCTAAAAAAAAAAAAAAAAAAAGGATATACAGGGGCTGTTCCCCTTCGAGCATAGCTATCTACCCCTCTTGCCGAAGGGAGGCTACCTCTCTCGGTGGAGGGAGGTAGTTGCATGTTTGCCCCTTGCCCATGTTTGCCCATGTGTGCCCATGTGTGCCCCCTTGCCCTACCGTAGTGATTTATTAGGGGTGCAGAGGGTTTTTTTTTTCCTTTTTCTTTTTTTTTCCTTTTTTTTTTTTAAACCCACCTAAGGCGAGTAGTCGCCTCGACTGTTGCACCGGCCGAGCCCATGGCATGCCTTCCGTCCCGACGTACGACTCAAGGGACACACCCTTGTTGTTCTCCAATCCAAAACAGTCACCCCGAGATCTGAAGGGGGTGAACGAACGACCCCTCGAATTCTTCGGAAAAACAACCCCTTCTCTCCAACGAAAAAAGAACAAAAAAAAAAAAAAAAAAAAACGACCCCTTCCCGCCAGTTGCCTATTTCTGAAAACAGCCGCCGCTCCGCGCCAACTAACACCCGCGACGTTCACCCCCTCGAGTTCTTTGAAAAACAACAACCCCCTCGAATTCTTCGAAAACAACCCCCTTCTGTCCAACGAAAAAAGAAGGAAAAAGAACGACCCCGTCCCGCCAGTTCCCTATTTCCGAAACTACTCGATGAGGGGGGCGGGGACGATGAGATAGGGAGGCGCAGCTACTGGCAAAATGCTCGGTGCTTGCGTTAGCCGGACCCCCACCGGCGGCCCCACCCCATCTCTGACTACCGCTGTTGGGAGGGGGGCGGGTGGGGGCAACATGAATTACCTCGTTTGCGAGGCCCTATGCTTGCAGGGGTCCCCTCTATATAGTCTTTTTTTTTTTTTTTTTTTGGTAGAGGCCAGTGACTGTGTACATAGTGATACGCAGGCCCAATCCAGATAAATGAAAAGAGTAGTCCCGTGATGGAGCCAGATCCTTCAGAAGAGAGTCATAGAGTTGGGGCTGCAGGCCCACACACAGCCGGCGTATCGAGGGCAGGCGGGCGCGCTTCACCAGAATTGGCGAGGTGAACGCAGATTTGCCTACGCGATGGGCGCAGCAGCTGGCGGGCGGAATCCCCTCGCGAATTGACACAACCTGCTGAGACCGGTCCTGCGCCGGTGACTTATACGATTGCTGCACCTGGAGGGAGCGGAGGCGGTCCACTGAGGGACTTCTTCCTGCTGGGTGAGTTCCATAAAGATCTGGACTCAAACCGTAGATGCTTGGTTAGATGCTGTTCCTGCCACTCATTTTGGAAAATATGAAGAAAGTCTGAGAGAAAATAAGATGCCTCCGTAGATTTAGAAGATCGACGCCTGAGAAAATGTTGATGCTGGGGTCTTGTCGGAGCGAAGGCACTGGTACTGTTGGAGTGGTAAACTTGAGACGATGGGGCAACAGAGACGTTGGAACTTGGTGCAACCGCACGGCCTCATACAGGGTAATTGCTACCCAGGCCCAATCCATATAAATGAAAAGAGTAGTCCAGTGATGGAGCCAGATCCTTCAGAAGAGAGTCATAGAGTTTAGGCCGCAGGCCCACACACCTCCTAGACCGCCCTAGACCCCCCATCATCCCACAAGTGAGACACTGACCGCTATAGGGGAAGGGCGAGAGAGTGATGATGTTAATCTAATTGGTTGAGAAGAAGATTGCAGAGAGACTAATGGTAGCAGAGTTAGGATAAGAGTGGTGAACCCTGGGGCTAAGGGAGCAGGAATATACAGACTTGGGGATTACACAGGAATGAGAGTGATTGAGTGAGAGGATTCTTCAAGTTGGTAGCCAATTAACTTTTGTGGAGGAAGGGGAAATGAGGAAGTAGTGAGTGGGGGAGTGCATTGCGCGAGAGATGGCGTGATGCAGGAGGGAAGTCGGTGGGAAGAGCCACCTGTAGGGTTTGGCAGGGAGTGTGTTCCAGTCGATTGAGAGGGCATCAGCGAAAGAAGAATTTGCGGACCATGTTCGGGAGATGAAAATTGAGGTGGTGTGGTGGTAGTCGGAGGCAAAGAGGTCTATGGCGGGTGCTCCGATGATAGAGAAGATATCATGCTTGACATGTGTTGTTATTCCCTAATCAGTGTTATCTACCATTTTAGAAAGGAGGTTTGCATCTGTATTTAAGGTTCGGGGTATCCAGAGAGGTGTGAGAAGTGTATCATGACGTGCAAGTACCGAGGTAATTTGGCGAAGCCAAGGGTTGAAGATTGTCTTGGTTGAACAAAGTTTAGAGAGAACGACAATTACAGATTGACTGTTAGAAAGGAGTCTGATTGAGGATGAAGTAAGAAGATGAGGGTAATGTGATTCTAAGAAAATGAGAGTTTTTCGGATTGTGAAGAGTTCCCTGTGAGTGGACGAAGTTTCTATTAATGCTTGAGGTAAACATTGATTCAAGGTGATGAGTGGTTGGAGTTCCGAGGATATGATGACTCCAATCTGAGAAGCGGAAGCATCGGTAGTGATTGAACATGATGATTTGCGAAGAGTCGACAGTCGTCCGGGTAGGAGGGGAAGATGGTGAATCCACCATTGCAGATCAATTATGAGGTCAGTTGATATGATGATGGGGGAATCCCAGTTAGAAGGGGTAATGAATTCATGCAGAGAGGAAATGAATAGTGGTGCGGGGAGGAAGACTTTTGAAAGAGAAGCTAATTTTCTCGCAAGTCTTGCCAAGGTTCTGCTTGAGGGTTGCGAGAGCGGCACTGAGTTAATGAGTTTGAGGATCTTGGTTGCTTTATCATCCGGTACCCTGATGCGTTTGTGGTGCGAGTCTATAATAAATTCGAGGAATTTTATAGACTGAGAAGGGAAAAAAGTGCATTTGTTGAGGCTGAGGAAAAAGTCGAGGTTGTGGAGGAGGGCAACATAGTTGAATGTTTGCCAGATGAGAAGGAGGAGATTAGGGTTAGCGATTGCAGAATCGTCGATGTACGATGTAATAAAAACTTGACGGAGACGAAGCTCGACCATAATTTATTGCATGACAGTAGTGAAGATCCAACAAGCTGCTGAAACTCCAAAACAAAGTGTTGTGAATTGGTAAAAGGTATCATTCCAACAGAAGGCAAGGTATGGTTTGTGAAGAGGGTGAATAGGGATGTGGTAGTAGTCATTTTTTATGTCAAAACAAGCGAGGAAATCTTGGTTGGAAGATCCTGAGAAGGGGAAAACAAGGTCGTCTATAGATTCGTAGTGAAATTCTGGAAAAAAAATAAATAAGTTAACGAATCTGGCATCAAGGATGAATCTAGTTTTTGATGAGCTTTCAGTGGCAAAGACAGGATTGACAACAATTGGCGATGGTGCAATCTTTATGACTCAATTTTTGAAAAGTTGTGAGACAGTGGATGAGATAAATTGAGAATGATGAGGAAAGAGATAATAATTTGGGATGAAGGTAGGTGGGGGATTTGTACACTGGAGGACTTTTTTGAATTCTGATGCTGGATAAACATGCCTCATCATTCTTCTCACTTCAATTAATTTCGATACAGAAATATGCTTGGTGCCAATAAAATGAAGTTGGACACTGTGCTGAATCCATTGGAGGACAGAGTGAGAGTATCTTCTAGTAGATGAGGAGAGAAGAAGTTGCCAATTAGAAATGGAAGAGGAAGTTGAGGAGGCAAAAAATTCATCTGGATTGCGAAGCCAAGCCGAAGGCTCTTGGAGAGCAGACAAGGCGAGTTGCAAATCTGAAGTGGAAGGTGGTAAAGTCAGGTTGGAAAGGATTTGCGAAACGAATGGTAGTGGAAAGGGGTGTCTAGGTGGAATGGTGGTTGATGTCTGATGAGGTTGGCTTCAAATTATCAGAATTCTTGGTATCGTAATCGGTGTGAGGCCGCTTCGTGATGCGGGCGAAGTCATAGCCCCTATCAAACTTGTCGCCGTAATACCTCTTGAATAGATTTTTCTTGGCGTCGTCGTTCTTGTTGGAGTTTTCATTCTTGCGATAACTTGATCAGTCGCCATCGGATTTATGATATCTGCGGTGAGACAAGAGAAATTTGATAAGCCCCAGAACGCAAATGGCGTGGATCTATTGACGATCCTGGGCGAGAAAATATAATTTGGCGATAAACCTAAACTTACCTTGACGAATCCCTTCTTGCGATGCTGAGACAACAATTGTACTTCGACTTGATCAATGGAAGTGTGAAACATAGGTTGCTGAAATTGGAAGTGGGAGGGAAATGCGATGGGGGTGAAATTTTGATAGGTATTGTAAGGAATATGAGAATGGGGAACGTGTGGTGGGGTACGTAAATTGGGTAAAGCGGGAGCGTGTGGTGGGGTGCGTAAATTAGGTAAAGCGGAGAGGATAGGTCCAGAGTGGTGGAAAGAGGAGATGAGTAGTGGTTTGGAGGTGAGGGGGGTTGAGCTCTGATTTGAAT